TTTGACTAATCAGGAAATCTTTTAGCAGCAGCATCAAACTGGGCAGGATGTCAAAGTGGACTCTGGTTGCTGATTGGTGGAGCTGATCGTCCGTCATCTGCTGGGCGGAGCTCCAAGCTTTCTTTCTGAAACGGTTGATGTATGATGACTTTATTCTAGTAATTTTACGTCTTTATTCTCGTAATAGAAGAAAATAACAAGTCCAGCCTGGCCCTAATAGTCGGTCATAGAAATTTTTCCTTTGGAGAGAAGTCAGTCGGTTTCTTTCGGCTTGATGGAGAAGGTGCTGTAGATCCCCCAGTGGTCGCTGGTGAACATGCCACACCTGAGCTTCTCCAGCCCGATCAGAGCCATGCTGTGGGGGTCCATCAGGGGGACTCCGTCCTGGGCGGCCCTTCGCAGGTACACCCGGTCGAAGCGGAAGCGGCACTTGAATTCAATCTCCTTGTTGGTGTTTGCCCCCGTGTCCCATGTGTAGCGGCACTTCTCCGGCTCCCCCAGCTCCTCCCACAGGTCACAGACATTAGGGGGAAGCCCCACAGCGGCCACCTGGGTGAGAAACATCAGGATCAGAGCTGAAGACAGAGCAGTAAGAGGAGACCTGGGGAAGAATGGAACCTCATAGTCTCTCAGGTTGGTGTCTCCTCCAAACAGAACCGTCACGTCATCTGGAGCCTGGCTCATCTTCTTCATCACCAGCCTCAGCTGCCTCATCCTCTCCTCGCTGTTGGCCTTACAGCTCTCAAAGTGGGACGTCATCAGCTGCAGCTTCTGGCCTCTGAACACCACCTGCATCACAGAATTTTCAAAATAAAAGCTCGTCTCTCAGGAATTGATTAATTAATTGGTTTTATTGATCTCAGAGTGGAGAAATGTCCTCGTTACATCAGCTCAAATAGTTAAAGGAGAAGAAGAAGAAGGTGCCAGAGGAATAAAAAGGTGCATGGGATAGATGTACATATATATATGCTGTGTTTGAATTCATGGGCTGCGTCCTCCGAAGGCCAGATTCGAAGGACGATCACGTCATAGCACGGCCTACAAATGCGTCCTCCTTTTTGTCCGATTTGAAGGACGGGTCCGGTCTATCCTTTCTATCCTTGGATATCCCAGGATTCATTGCACGACGAAACAAACCAGCTTCTCCGCGATCAGAGGAAAAAGGGAAATGGCGCCGATCAGTGGTGAATATTGGAAGTGCAGTTTAATATAATCCAAGTCTGTGAATAGTTCCGTCTGAAATGAATGAAAATAGTTGTTTTAATGGTTATAGAGTCAGATATGTGGCGGAAATGTTTGATTTATCTAAAGGTTTTTATCTGTTACTGGGTTAGCATCAGACTGATCTAAAATTCTTCCGAGAACGGACCCCTGGTGAGATGGACCCCAAATTTTTATTGCTATTTTACAACGAGTGTTAGGCCCACGCTAGAGGTTTTTGTTCTATTTCGAGAATAAAGTCATAGAATTATGAAAATAAAGTCGTACAATTATGAGAAAAAATGGTCAGACAAATGTGGACCTTGTATGAGAATAACATAATAGTGAAGAATTAAAAGATAAACAATAAAATCCTGTAAAGTGTTTTAGCAATATCAAACTGTGCATCTGGAGAATAAATAACCAATATGCAGCTATGGACATTTTTA